ACAAAAAAAATATTTATTTATATCGTTAGTTTTATGTTTAGATGGCTTCTTTTAATTCCCTATGGAGTTGGGGTTATGTCTAAATATGATTATATTTGGATGCATATTACCGCTATTATCGGTATGTTTTATTCTCTCAAATTTTTTGGCTGTTCTTAATATGTTATATTATAATTATACTGTTTCACTTACTTACTACAGTATCTTCGTTTTTTAAATATAGCATTCAATATGGGAGGAATTGTTAATTCGTTATTATATATAATGATCGAATGCCCTCCAGATCTAAAACAAAGTAAAAATACAACAATCACCACAACTACAAAGTTGGAACGTCTATCTTTTAATTCGTCGGATTATAATACTACTCCAAAATCTCTTACTGTACCATTGGCTGTTTTTCTTCCATCTATTTTTAACTCTAATAATCCTACTTTTAATAATTGTGACTCTTTTTATGGATTAAATTCTTCTTTAGATAATGATGATTATGATGAAAAAACTATAAAAAAATTACGACCTGAGAGTAATCAAAATAAGTTCCCATCTGATGATTATAATAATATTCAAACTGAAACATCAGATATCAATGATGAATTTTATTTGGCATTAAGATGTTAACTACTTTTTTTTTTAAAAAAAAAAAAAAAAAATATCGGAGGGAAAGTAATAAACTTTTTTTGGAAAAGCGTAACACACGATTTATTATTATTTGCAATTCTTTTCTGTACTATATATACATTTTTTCAGTTTACGTTTAGTAAATTAAATTGGGGGGTTTTTTTTTCTTTGTGGGATTTTTTTTTTTTTATGTAATAAATTTTTGTATACACTGTATAGTACAAGGAAATTATTGCTTTTTTTTTTTTGACGTGTGCTTGAAAAATTAGTAACTTAAATGTTTAGAGCACCTTAATGTTACGTTATTCACTAGCTAAGATTTTAACTCTTTTATGCTTAATAAAAAAATTTAACTATGTATATATTATTTTTTTTTTTTCTATTAATATATAACAATGAAAGAATATAGTATACTTACAAATAAAAACAAAAAAAATTATATCTAAAAGTGGCATATCTCTAGAGGATAGAAGCACGGATGTAAGGTCTGTGATGAATGCAATCATAATTCACATCTATATTGCAAAGCATGCAAAAAAGTGGCGGATGGCATATATAAGCAATGTGAATGTAATCAGAATTAACGATTTGGTAATAACTATAATAATGATTGATGCTAAATCGATCGATAAAGATAAAAAAAAATATGAAAGAAGGTATGATTATAGCTCCAGAGGAGCGCCTCTTTGAGGCAAGAATATATAGACAATGGATCCTCATAAATAAATAAATCAGAGTCAACGTTTTGGTAATAACGATAACAATAATTTATCACCAAAGATGCGCCTCTTTGAGGTAAGATTTGTAAAGACATATCTTTATACTGTTAATGAAAAAAAATCCCAGTTATTTTTGATAAACTCAGTGTTGAAAAGTTTGAATTTGCTTAACCTCATGATACATGTACAGTATTTTAATTTTCCGATATACTGCACATTACCATATCAAAGTTGTACGCAGACTAAAAATACTTTATTAAAAGTTATGCATTACAATAACAATAGAAATTATAAAGATCGCGATATAAGCAATAGAATCTCACATCATAGAAATATTTCGTCCATATCTTCTTCTGTCACAAATGAAATGTCATCATCCGGTAGATGTAACCACTCTCTTAAATTTTCAAAACAATTGTCAGTTGGAATAAAGGAACGAATTTTCCTTTGTAATTTTTCTTGTTCCAAAAACTCATTTCGAATTAGAGATCGGAATCGGTTGTAAAATTTAAAACCCGAATTATATTAAATACGATTATGAAAAAAAAAACGATTTATGCTAAATCGGATTGGCTTAAACCGAATTTAATTCGAATCGTCGGATAAATATTTAGCCGAAAAGAAAAACCTGAAATTACTTTTTACATTGGATATTGTTACTATTGTAAATTGGGAGAGCGAGTAACAGTGCACAGTTTAGCTCCAATAGTTAACGTGGTTGGGACGCGATGACATCTCACTTAACCAGGTGGGATTCAAGCATTAATGATAGTTGGGAATAAAGGAAAGGCAGATCATTGTTTTATGTTACTTTTATCAAGAAGGACGTGAGCTCCTCCTCTCTTTATTAAATGAGACAGTCTGTGCTTTTATACATTTTACGATCTTAAGAGGCCTGACCTGTTAGAGGCTTTGTGCTATCATTTGAGCCTCACACAGCCTTTACACAATCTCAAACTCTAACAGCATAAAAAAATTCTATTCTAAGGTGTCAGGCACTTTTGTAGCAGTGACACAAATATTATTTTAGAAAAAATATCACGGGTAAATTAAGATTAACTACGCCTTATATTCCGTGATTAAAGAATTGAGTAACCGAATACGTAATGATCCAGTACGTAGAATTTCGATTATGACATATAAGGTCGCTAATGGAATGTTCGAACGGGTGTAACACAAACGCGTATTTGAAAGAGTTCACGAGGAAACTACGCGGGACAGTGTGGAAGGAAAAGCTAAGTATTGGACTCAGACCAAAGGGAAACGAATGAAGATTAAATAGAAGCCTGAAAGTTACCTTAATTCTTATCAGTTATTGTAGTTTCCGTAGAGAAATAGAAAGTCAGGAGTTTATGCTATAAAGGAAAGAAGTTTTTAGTAAAATGATTTTTAAAGCCTCTTGAACCTCGTACGTCTCTAAATGTTATAAAAGAGTTGTAATTTCACCTAAGGGCAGCACCTACGGGTTTATGTCCAACCATAATAAAAATTATCTTAGTCACGCCTCTGGCAAATTTCTTTATAAAATTCTGATTATTGTAAGATCGCTTCCTTACATTTTAACTTTAACAATAGTAACGTTAATAATAAATTAAAAATTTAAGCATTATACGTAATTTTAGGTGTTAAGATTTAAAAAATTTTTATAAATATTAGGATCAGAAAATGATATAATAAAAGGAGGAATCTATAGTAAATGGAAATTACTAATTAATGTCAATTATGGGGAAATGCGCATTTTTCAGAGTAATACGCTAGTAATGCAAACTGCTGGCTCGGCTCGGCTTACGGCTAACATTGAGAAAATAAATAAAATCAGCCAATTAGACGAAAGTGTGAGGGTTGCTATTTTATAATGATCATGTAATATAAAATCTATCAGCTCGCAGCTCCATGTTTAATTTTAGAATTGATGTTTCATTAGTAGACTATAGCAGAGTCGTTAATCGGCTTGGTTTAACCGTTTAGCTTACGGAAAGGAACGTGGTGAACGACCTTTAAGATAACAAAGGAAGTTTCAAAGAAAATTTCTAGGGTAAATCGTAAAATTAAAATTTTAATATTTTTTATGGTTACATCTCATTTTACCAAGTCATTTCACAAAAAATAAAAGTTGGCTAACACTAACCTAACCCTAACTCTATATCTGATATTGGTCATCAAAACTTAACGAATTATATTGAAGCAGATCACTATTTTCATTTTAATTTGCCATAATTGTCTAAGTAATATATTAGTAATAGACTAAATAATATACTACAATGTTATAAAAAAGAAACTTTTATTTTTATTGATAAATTTAATTATAATTGTTACAAGAATTCATGTATTTCTGTTACTTCACATTTATTGTCCTCAAAAGTTTCTTCAGCCAATAATAATAATAATCATAAAATTATAATAAGATGAAAAAAAAAAATTGCAAGTTGAAAATATAATGAAATGAAATAATGAGAATAAACTTTAAATAATAAAAAATAATATCAATAATCATTTAAGAAAAAAAAACAAAAAAAAAGAATAAATCATTTTGCGAGGAGCAAGCCTGCAAACAAATAAGCAAGATCCTCATTTGACAAACATGTTGGACACATTTCATAATCACATTGATTACATTTTAAACGTCTTCCATAACAAAGTTTTCTACATTCATCACACATCCACATTGCTGGTGATTGCGAATAACGAAGTGGATGACGTTTTCGACAATGACTTTTAGGTTCACATTTTTCACCAGACTTACAATGACTAGGACAAGCATCAAAATCACAAGTATCACAATGATATTGAGAAGTCTATGAATGAAATTTTTAAGAAAGTTAATAACTTAAAT